AGCTCCCTATGGTGCCACGAAACGCTGCCCTGGGTGGGGGAACCGCATGCGAACACCCCCACTGGGGCCTTCGGTGGAGCTCCCTATGGGGCTACGAAACGCTGCCCTGGGTGGGGGAACCGCATGCGAACGCCCCCGCGAGGGGGAGGGGCAGCGGGAGGAGTGGACGCGGGGCGCTGTCTCTTCAAAACGAGGACCCAACACCACAGGATGGTTAGGAAATTATCCTGGCGAAAAACCCAACCATAAGCAATTGTTGATAACGCGTTGTGGGTGCCGCTTTCGGTGGGGCTCCATATGGGGCCACGCAGCGCTGCCTTGGATGGGGGAACCGCATGCGGACTGCGCCGCCGGGGCGGGCCTTCGGTGGAGCTCCCTATGGGGCTACGAAACGCTGCCCTGGGTGGGGGAACCGCATGCGAACTGCGCCACTGGGGCCTTCGGTGGAGCTCCCTATGGTGCCACGAATCGCTGCCCTGGGTGGGGGGGTGGCTTTCGGTGGAGCTACCCATGGGGCCACGAAGCGCTGCCAGGTGGGGGAAACCGCAAAATGCGAGAGCAGCCACTGGGGCCTTCGGTGGAGCTCCCTATGGGGCCACGATGCGCTGCCCTGGGTGGGGGAACCGCATGTGGACACCCCCACTGGGGCCTTCGGTGGAGCTCCCTATGGGGCCACGAAACGCTGCCCTGGGTGGGGGACCCGCATGCGAACACCCCCACTGGGGCCTTCGGTGGAGCTCCCTATGGGGCTACGAAACGCTGCCCTGGGTGGGGGAACCGCATGCGAACACCCCCACTGGGGCCTTCGGTGGAGCTCCCTATGGGGCTACGAAACGCTGCCCTGGGTGGGGGAACCGCTTGCGAACACCCCCACTGGGGCCTTCGGTGGAGCTCCCTATGGGGCCACGAAACGCTGCCCTGGGTGGGGGAACCGCATGTGGACACCCCCGCTGGGGCCTTCGGTGGAGCTCCCTATGGGGCCACGAAACGCTGCCCTGGGTGGGGGAACCGCATGTGGACACCCCCACTGGGGCCTTCGGTGGAGCTCCCTATGGGGCCACGAAACGCTGCCCTGGGTGGGGGAACCGCATGCGAACACTCCCACTGGGGCCTTCGGTGGAGCTCCCTATGGGGCTACGAAACGCTGCCCTGGGTGGGGGAACCGCATGCGAACACCCCCACTGGGGCCTTCGGTGGAGCTCCCTATGGGGCGACGAAACGCTGCCCTGGGTGGGGGAACCGCATGCGAACACCCCCGCTGGGGCCTTCGGTGGAGCTCCCTATGGGGCCACGAAGCGCTGCCCTGGGTGGGGGAACCGCATGCGAACACCCCCACTGGGGCCTTTTGTGGAGCTCCCTATGGGGCTACGAAACGCTGCCCTGGGTGGGGGAACCGCATGCGAACACCCCCACTGGGGCCTTCGGTGGAGCTCCCTATGGGGCCACGAAACGCTGCCCTGGGTGGGGGAACCGCATGGGAACACCCCCACTGGGGCCTTCGGTGGAGCTCCCTATGGGGCTACGAAACGCTGCCCTGGGTGGGGGAACCGCATGCGAACACCCCCACTGGGGCCTTCGGTGGAGCTCCCTATGGGGCCACGAAACGCTGCCCTGGGGGGGGGAACCGCATGCGAACACCCCCACTGGGGCCTTCGGTGGAGCTCCCTATGGTGCTACGAAACGCTGCCCTGGGTGGGGGAACCGCATGCGAACACCCCCACTGGGGCCTTCGGTGGAGCTCCCTATGGGGCCACGAAACGCTGCCCTGGGAGGGGGAACCGCATGCGAACACCCCCACTGGGGCCTTCGGTGGAGCTCCCTATGGGGCCACGAAACGCTGCCCTGGGTGGGGGAACCGCATGCGAACACCCCCACTGGGGCCTGCGGTGGAGCTCCCTATGGGGCTACGAAACGCTGCCCTGGGTGGGGGAACCGCATGCAAACACCCCCACTGGGGCCTTCGGTGGAGCTCCCTATGGGGCCACGAAACGCTGCCCTGGGTGGGGGAACCGCATGCGAACACCCCCACTGGGGCCTTCGGTGGAGCTCCCTATGGGGCTACGAAACGCTGCCCTGGGTGGGGGAACCGGAATGCGAACACGCCCCACTGGGGCCTTCGGTGGAGCTCCCTATGGGGCCACGAAACGCTGCCCTGGGTGGGGGAACCGCATGCGAACACCCCCACTGGGGCCTTCGGTGGAGCTCCCTATGGGGCAACGAAACGCTGTGCTGGGTGGGTGAAACGCAAGGAGGAGGGGGAGGGGCAGCGGGAGGAGTGGACGCGGGGCGCTGTCTCTTCAAAACGAGGACCCAACACCACAGGATGGTTGGGAAAAATAAGGTAAAGTGGACATTCGCGCGCGCAAGACGAAATCCTTCCAAAACCTTAGTGTTCGTAGCGATTTTAACATAAAAACATCAAAAAAAACCAATGGTTTCTCAAAAAAAATGTCAAAAATTCATCCCGCGCGCTCTTGCGGATTTGTAGGAAACCCAACACTGTTTTAAACATTTCTGTCAAACGGGCTTTTGCGAGCAACTTTTTCACGTGTTTCGAACTTCTCCAACAACGGTTGCGCACCTGCCAGGGCCATCATCCCTGTCAAATAGTACCATGCGGGACACATTAGTTTTTTCTTCGCGCGCGCACGCCGAAATCTTCAAAAACCATTGGGTTTCTTAGGGATTTTAGCACCGCGCAACATAAAATCATACGAATCGCACCGTAGGTCCTCGAAGAACATCTGTACGAATTTTCAAAATTTCTACCCGCGCGCGCTGTCCGAATCCTAAAAAACCAATGGTTTTTCAACATTTATGTTACATGAGCTCGCGCGAGCTACTTTCGCAAGCTCTTTCAACGGCGTTCGCGCGCCTGCCAGGGGCCACAATCCCTTGCAAAACATACCATGCGGGACACATGCGCGCGTGTCGGTGTCCAGTGTTGGAACAGGGGGAAAAGTCGTATACTAAGCTAGCGTCCAGAAAATGTCACCACAACAAGTCACTGTACCCATGCGCCAGTGTAGTAGCCACGGTCGTCCGCAGGCCACGAAGTGAAGTGTCCGAACGTCATAGGGCGGGAAGCTGGGTGTGGGTGGTGGCGAAGAGTCGTTTGGAAATTGGTAGAGCTTGAACCGGCCCCCCCACAAAGTGGGGGTATTGGGCGTCGTACGAAAACCCTGGCACTGGTGAGAACGGAGTGTCCCCACGTGCTAGTAATTGTTGTTGTTGGTGTTGTTGTTGTTGTTGTTGTGTTGTTGTTGTTGTTGTTGTTGTTGTTGTTGTTGTTGTTGAACATTATTAATTCTAAAGAATAATTATTGTTGGGCCCCCTGGTGCGCGCCCCCCCCGCCGCGCCTAGGCCGCAGCCACGTTTTCATCATTTTCGTGAGGAAGCCTCAGGTAATTCGAGTGATCAAGATCCGGTTGTTTTGTTGTAATCCGCTTTCCCTTGCAAAAAACACTATAAAATGAAATTTCTTGTTCAAATATTATCAAATTTCAAGAATCCCTTGTAAAAAATAAGGTAAAGTGGACATTCGCGCGCGCAAGACGAAATCCTTCCAAAACTTAGTGTTCGGAGCGATTTTAACATAAAAACATCAAAAACCAATGGTTTTTCAACAAAAAAATGTCAAAATCTCATCCCGCGCGCTCTTGCGGATTCGTAGGAAACCCAACACTTTTTAAACATTTCTGTCAAACGGGCTTTTGCGAGCAACTTTTTCGAACTTCTGCGACAACGGTTGCGCACCTGCCAGGGCCATCATCCCTGTCAAATAATACCATGCGGGACACATTCGTTTTTTCTTCGCGCGCGCACGCCGAAATCTCCAAAAACCATTGGGTTCTGTGGGTGTGTACCCCACGCCAGTGTAGTAGCCACGGTCGTCCGCACGCCACGAAGTGAAGTGTCCCAACGTCATAGGGCGGGAAGCTGGGTTTGGGTGGTCGCGAAGAGTCGTTTGGATATTTGGTAGAGCTTGTAATGCCCCCCCACGAAGTGGGGGTATTGCCTGGTGTCGTATGAAAACCCTGGCACTGGGGAGAACACCACGCGTTCGGGTAAAATGATTGTTGTTGTTGTTGTTGTTGTTGTTGTTGTTGTTGTTGTTGTTGTTGTTGTTGTTGTTACTGTTCCTCCGGCGGCTGGCCCGATGGTGGGGGCGCGCCCTCCTGGGCGGGCTGGGGCATCCGAGCCCCCGCGGTCGCTGATTCACCCCCTCCTCCTCCTCCTCCTCCTCCTCCTCCTCCCCTCCTCCTCCTCCTCCTCCTCCTCCTCCTCCTCCTCCTCCTCCTCCCCTCCTCCTCCTCCTCCTCCTCTCCTCCTCCTCCTCCTCCTCCTCCCCCTCCTCCCCCCCCTCCTCCTCCTCCTCCCCTCCTCCTCCTCTCCTCCTCCCCCCTCCCCCTCCTCGTTCTCCTCCTCCTCCTCCTCCTCCTCCGTCCTCCTCCTCCTCCTCCTCCTCCTCCTCCTCCTCCTCCTCCGCCGCCTCCTCTCCTCCTCCTCCTCCGCCGTCGCGCCTCCGCCTCCGCCTCCGCCTCGCCCTCGTCGCCCTCCTCCTGCTGCTCCTCCTCCTCCTCCTCCTCCTCCTCCTCCGCCTCCTCCTCCTCCTCCGCCTCCTCCTCCTCCTCCTCCTCCTCCTCTTCCACCTTTCCTCCTCCTCCTCTCCTCCTCCTCCTCCCCCCCTCCTCCTCCTCCTCCTCATCCCCATCCCTCCTCCTCCTCCTCCTCCTCCTCCTCCTCCTCCTCCTCCTCCTCCTCCTCCTCCTCCCTCTCCCCCTCCCTCTCCCTCTCCTTTTTTCCTGCTCCTCCTCCTCCACGCGAGACACCTCCTTCACGCGCTGGTGCAACACGCGGGCGTTCAGGCCGAATAGCGGAAACCGAGCCCACGAAACCGAGCGACAGCGCGATCTCGGCGGCAGCCACATTCAATGCGCGAACACGCTGTACCAGGAAGATCCGATGCCGAGAACAAAGAATAACGACGCCACGGCAGACGCAATAATCCATAGGCAAGGAGAACCAATGCTCCAGAAAGACAGCGATCCAACCAGCACAGACTGATATCAGGCAAAATTAGCGGCCCTCGCCAGGGTCGTGTGGCAGGCCCCGCGGAGTCCACAGAAACTGCATACCCTCCTGCTCTATGACGGCGTCGGGAACGGCCGGCCTGCGTCTCGGCGAAGGTGCCCTCGGGGATGCTCTCTGGTACCTCATTCTCGTTGGACGCCTCCACGTCGGCCTCCTGCGACCCAGCATCGGCCGCACTCGCCTCCACCTCACCCGTGTCCCTCGCGAAGCACAGCAGCCCACCAGCCTGGTCCCCGTACGCCCCGGACAAGGAACCCGAAGCCGCGACCGAACCCTCGTTGGACAAAAACATGGCGAAGCGAACAGGAGGAAAAGACGACCGCGCTACAAGCGCACATGACACCCACGACGGGACCGAGCGGCACCCAGTGGCCAGCTCCAGGAATGAATACTGGACTGTCCGCCTTCAGCACAGCGCCCGAGGCTCTAGCTCGACCTTTTCGTTGGAACCTATTCAGCTCGCTGCGCGAATCGCCAGCGATAACCTGGGCAGGCGTGCCGAAGTCGTGCGATACCAAATTCCTGCGAACACGCGCCTCGCCATCGACTCGGACACCAGCCAAGCCAGCAGCGAGCACCGGCAAGATGAGTTGCACCCGACGCCTGAGCTCCTCCGCGGCGCCGTCGAACTCCGCGCTACTTGCCTCCAACTCGAGGGCCGCTCAATGCCCGTGGGCCATAGCCAGCTTGGTGTTCAGCTGCACCACTTTAGCGCGAGCCGAAAACAGACCGAGACCAGCAGCTTCGCAAGCCCGCCTCCGCGCGGCAGAGCGCTGCGCCCTGGAGCGACGAAGAACTTCAGGATCACCTGCAGCGGCGACCCCGCCCGTACCATCTTTAAGACCACGAACAGACAAGCGGCCAGCTCCAGTAGCTCCAGCCGGGGGAAACATCGCCATGCCAGCTTGAGCACTGGGGCTGTCGCACGCTGCTGTGCGGCTTGAGCCAAAATGGCTACGGACCCCCCCCCTCCTCCTCCTCCTCCTCCTCCTCCTCCTCCTCCTCCTCCTCCTCCTCCTCCTCCTCCTCGTCTTGCGTCCTCGTCCTCCTCCTCCTCCTCCTCCACCTTTCCTCCTCCTCCTCATCCTCCTCCTCCTCCTCCTCGTCCTCGTCCTCGTCCTCCCTCCCTCCTCTCCTCCCTCCCTCCCTCCCTGCCTCCCTCCCTCCCTCCTCCTCCTCCACCTCCTCCTCCACCTCCTCCTCCTGCTCCTCCTCCTCCTCCTCCTCCTCCTCTTCTTCCCCTCGCCCCTGCCCCCCTCGGACACATCGAAAACGAGTCCGCCCAAGCCCCCCGTGAGAACAACCATGGCAAGGAGGGGCGGCAGGAAACCGAGGACTGGGAGGCATGAAAAAAAACATGGCCCAATATGGGCCTGTTGATGGTGATTCGCCTCTAGATTCTGTAGATGTGCCCGAGTCTGACCTCTCGGAGACACGCACACGTGGCAAGCGTGGCCTTTGGTGCGCGGCTTGCCGATCGCAGTGAAGGCTTGCGTGCCTAGGTCTGGCCCACGCGCGGCCCCCGAACTGCGCGCACGAGAGGCCTCTCCGGCGAAGGGTCACTCTTGCGTGTAGCCTAGCCACCAGGCCCCCACATGCACAGGCCGCCCGGCGACGCTGCCGACACGAGCCTCGCCACAGCGACACGAGCGACATCCTTCCGAGAAGGCCCCCCGGCCGCCCCGCCCCCGACCAGGACCCGCCCGGGACTGGCCCCCCTGACCCCAGCTGAGGTCCAGCCCGACCAGCCCTCCTAGCCGCGCCCGACCTTGACGACGAGAAGTCGAAAGGCAACTATCATAAACCAGCTGCCTTCACAGAGCAAAGGGCATAATAGCTTTGTTTGGGGTGCTTCGTGTAAGGGGATAAGAACCGCCCTCTGAATGAGCCCCCCTACAAGCGAAGCCCTTTGGTACACGCACCCAGGGGAGGAATCGAGCAGGGCAGGACTGCTTGGTTAACGCCTGGGACCGTGTAGCACGCGCAAGCTATGAAGATCGCGGTAACTTTCCCTTCCTCAAGATAGGCCGCCACTCTCGCCCAGCCACCTCCTCTGAGCAACTGAACCCCGCGCCCCCTTGCAGCAGAGGCGGCTGTCGCGCCACGCCGAGCTTGGAGGCGCGAGTGCCCCGGTCGTGCACGACCTCCTTCGTCACGTCCACGAGCCTGGTTCAGGGCCCCGCGAACGGGGACTTTGATAAGCCAGGAGGTTGGCGCGCCCATAGAAAATTGCAGCTGTGGGTCGAGACATTGTCATTGTTTGCTTGTTTGTTTGCCTCTCTTGTTTTTTATTCCTCTCTCTCTCTGTCTCTCTCCGGATGAGACTTTCAAAATACGGGTTAGCAATGTTCTCGTTCAGGGAGACCTGGATGGTTTTACCCCCTGCCCGACAGGCCGCCGCCACCCCGAGGGGCACCCGAGAGCAGAGGCAGCCAGAACCCATACCTCCGACGCCTTAGACGGATGAAGGCAGCCGATTCGTTCCTGAGTCTAGGCCCACGCGGGCCATCTTCGCCCCCCCCGAGACCCTGGAACCAAAATCCCATGGACGGAACCAGCAGCCAGAGGACCAGGTCTAGAGATCTGGGTGGCCCTCGCACTGAGGAGCCCATCGCGTCGGCAAAAGGGAGAACCCTGATGTTTGTCGCTTCCCGAGCCTTCCGGATCCACATTGGCTCAGGAGAACTTCAGGGGAGACGTGCCCAGCTCAAGAGGACCCGGACGAGTATTCAAGACAGCCCAGATCGGCACCCAGGGGAGCAAAGGGAGCTCCGAGCGGCGCCCAACATGGTCCCAGCGAGCCCCAAGTCTCTCCCCTCTCCTTCTCTCTCTCTCTGTTGTTCTACATCTCTCTCTCTCTCTTTCCCTGCGTAAGCGGATACGTACATATTTGAAAACATATTTAGATCATGCGTATGCAGATACACACATCGATTCACTTACACACATATGCACTACCATGTCGCCCTCCCTCTCTCCCTATCTCCCTCCATCCCTATGCCACTTCCTCCATCCATTTGCCCCCCCTCCCGTCCTCCCTCCATCCTTCCCTCCCTCTATGCGCACATAGACTTGCACCTATAGGATAGTTAGTCCACGCGGTCAATGTCGACCTCGGCTCTTCTTTATCGTCCAACCTGCATGTCTCTCTCATCATATGTCTGTCTCTCTGTCTCTCTCTCTCACTCTCTTTTTCTGCCTGTGTGTATCTCTCTCTCTCTGTTTTGTTTTATCTCTCTATCTCTCTCTCTCGCATATAGACGTAGATGCATTGTACTGTACGCGTATACATACAATCACATCCACCCTTTTGGAATATCGTTATCCCTCTTTGCATGTACATGTGTGTATGTGTATGCATGCACGTGCACATGTACATGCACGAACGCGACGACTCCAGCAGAAGTGCAAGTGGGACGCACACAACAAAGGCGACTGGGCCTGCGTGGAGATAAGAGGGCGGCATGCGCTTGCGGGCCCCACACAAAAGTACGTCCCCAGTCAGCAGTCTTCCCCTCCCTCTGCTCTCTGCGCCCTCCTCTCCCTCGGATGGGGGAGTTGGGGGCGGGGTGCTGGTGGCGCATACCCTTGAACCGCATCTGAGGGGTGCAAGGCGGGTAGTGGTGAAATTCCTGGATAGCTCGTAGAGAGCTGAGAGGGTTTCGTATCAAGCCAGAGCCGCAAGGTAGCCCCGGAGGACGTTACGGCTTCCGTCCACACACCTCGGCGCGCCTCGCTGGAGCCGGAAACGGGTCCCGAGAGGCCTTGTCTGAGCGTTTCCCAATACGCGTGCCCGGAAGCTCTCCAGGTGGTCCTTCGGAAGCTCTCTCCAGGTCCTTCCAGAGTTCTTCGACGAGCCTTGCCACGCCCTTCGGGCGTCTTGCTATCAGGCTCTCGGGTCTCACAAGTTCCCTCGGACGTTCTGCGCAGGCCCTGGGACGTGCAGCCTTGCCTGGGAACGGGCTGGACCATCGAGAATGCAGGGGCGGCCTTGCAGAGGCACGCGCGCAAGGCGCTGTGGCAGGAGCTGGGGCGTGTGCACCAGGCTGCGGGGGCAAGGGGGGCGGCCGACCCCTAGGGCAGAGGGGACCTCCTGGAGCGGCCCGGCGGCCCCCGCAGGGCGGAGCGCTTCGCGGGACGGCTCCTATGAGGCACCCTGGCCTCTGAAGGAGGCCCCTCCCCCCCTTGCTCCGCAGCCGTGGCGACGGGCGAAGCTGTGGAGACAGCTCGACCTTCCCGGGGCCTGGCGGCGGCCCCCAGAGACCACGAGCGAGGGAAGCTGCGGTCGAGGAGGCACGGCCTCATCCCTGCCCTTTCGTCCGACCCGATGCTCGCCCCCCCGCTGATCTCATCTGCCCCCCTCCCCCCCCCCCGCTGCCAGCGCTGCGTCTCCACGCTGTCCGCCCGCAGCACCTCCAGGCCGAGGGAGCCCAGAACCTTGCGCCGACCCTTCCGTTGCCAGCAAACTCCCCCGAAGAACCAGCAACATCCCCCGTAGCCCCTGGCACACGGCTGGCCCCCGTCGTGTCCGCGTGGTCGACGGCGTCTGACACCGCGCACGTCGGCGAACTACACGCAAGAGAACGCAAGACTGGCCCTGCAATCAGTGGACTAATTTACTAATGAGAGAATTTTCCGTGGGCGGCTGGAACGCTCGCGCTCGATGAAAGCGCACGCACGGCTGCAACCCGCGCCGTGTGCAGCTGGAAACGCTCGCGCGGGGTAAAAATGCACGGCTGGAAGCCGCGCCTTGCACGGCTCAAGCGCTCGCGCCTGGTAAAAGGCTCATGGCTGGAACCCACGCCGCGTGCCGCTGGAACGCTCGCGCTCGGCAAACATGCATGGCTGGAGCCCACGCCGCCATCGGCTGGAACGCTCGCGCTGGGTAGAAATCCGTGGCTGGAGCCCACGCCGTGAGCGGCTGGAACGCTCTCGCTGAGTGGAACCCACGCCGTCGGCGGCTGGAACACTTCCCCTCGCAAAAATGAAGGGCTGGAACCTCACCCGTGGGCGGCTGGAACACTCCCCCTGGTGAAAATTGAAAGCTGGAACTGCCCCTTCTTGTCGGCAGAAGCGGCTGGAACACTGTCACTCGTAAAAACTGAAGGCTGGAGCCTGAACCGACTTGGGGCTTGAATAAATTGGAGGGAGGGGGGGCTGACGTGCCAGTGGTGGGGGTCTTAGCATTGTATCCACGCCTCGCTCCTAAACTGGGTCAGTCCGCGCGCTCGTCTGTCGGTCAGTGGGTCCGTCGGTCGTCGTCGTCGGTCGTTGTCGTCTCGGTCCGTCGGTCCGTCCGTCCATCGGTCGTCATCGGTCGTCGTCTCGGTCGGTCGGCCGGTCAGTCGATCGGTCGTTGTCGGTCGTCGTCGTTGGGGTCGGTCGGTCGGTCGGTCGGTCAGGTCGTCGGTCGTCGGTCGGTCGGTCGTCGTCGTAGGTCGTCGTCGTCTCGGTCGTCGGTCCACAGCTGGATAATGAGTTTGGTCTGGATTTCATCACGTGTGATATTCTACAGTGGAGCTCTTTCTGCCCAAATTAGCGTTGATTATACTGTAGCGTCAGGCTCGCATCACGGGTGATTACCTGCAGAGGCATCTTGCTGTTTCCAGCTGCCTGTTTGAACGGCGTTGGACAGCGGCCCGCATGTATCCTCACATTGTTTTGCACGGGCGCTGTCGGCGCCACTACTTCAGCAGGGACAGACCGTCCCGGCATTCCTATAGGCCTACCACGACATGTTCTTAGAAAAATGCTCGAACAACAAAATCAATGTTTTTATAACATAGTCCCGATGTGTTGAAACAGAACAGCCTCAGCCAGACATGTTCTAAGAACATTCCGTGCAGACCATCAACGGTTATCAGAACACTCTTTGGTGGGATGATCGGCAAACCAGGACGCTTCGCCACTGCTCGAACTAGGCGCACCAGGAACGCACCTGGTAAAGGGCAGGCGTGCGATGGGTCACGAGGGGGGCCCCAGGCGGTGGGCCCGCCAGCACCTCAGAGCCAGCCCGCCCCCTCACCCCGAGCCTCCCACTCCGAAGCGGCGGCCGCCTCCTCGCGCGGCCACCGAGCATCTGATGGCCCCGCCCACGGTGGGCGAGACCGGCGCTGGCAGCCGAGCCGCTGCTCAGGAGAGACAAAAGTACCACTACCACCAGCTCGAGGGGAGTGGCCGCTCCCTCCCCTCGAGCTGGTGGCACCTCCTTCAGGGCACTCTGTGGAGGCATGCCCCGAACGAGGTGCCGCCAGCTCGAAGCGGTGGGACAACCGCCCCCCTAGCTGGTGGTAGCAGTACTTTTGCCTCTGGTGAGCTGCGCCGTCGCCGGAGAACGCGCCCGACGGCGCTCTCCGTGGCCTCGGAGCTTCGCGGTGCGAAGCTGCCGACGCTTCCGGGCGGCCGTGGGCTGGGTTCGCCACCGCGACAGCGCGGGCCGCCACTCTCCAAGCGGCAGCCCTCTCCGCGGTAGGGCCGGACAGGGCGAGAGGGAGGCTCACACTGCGGGTGGAAGGGGAGAGGATCGGTACGCTCGGAGCAAAACAGGGAGCAGGATGAGGAGGAGTGAAAAGGAGGAGGAGGAGGAGGAGGAGGAGCGAAGAAAGGAGCAAGGAGGGAGGAACACGGAGCAGGAAGCAGGGACTGGGAGGGCAGAGGTGTGAAAATACAAGAGATGGGAAGCAGGGAACAGATGAGGATGATGATGAGGACTGGGAGGAGAAGAAAGGAGAGGAGGAGGAGGAGGAGGACGACAAGACACATATGGATAAGGAGGAGGAGGAGGAGGAGTAGGAGGACTGAGAATATAAAAAGGAGGAGGAGGAGGCCAGGCAGACGAGGAGGAAAAGAGCCGCGAGAAGAGAGAGGCCCTCCTGAAACAGCTGGGCCACTGGCAGCCGCTGCAGGGCGTTCATGTTGCGCCTGGCGACCGCCCCTTCCCCCCCTTGCACCCACGAAGACGACGGCGACGACGACGGCGACGATCGACAACTTGCGCGACCCATGGCGCAGGCCATTGCTCATCTTACGATGTGCTGGCACGGATGTGCGAGGACCAGGAATAGGCTGACGTGAGCATCAGTGGTCGACAGCGGCAGGCTCGTGCGGGGCCGTGCCCGATTCGTGCTCGCCGCTCCGGTTGGCTGCGGAGCCCCGTGGCGCGATGTCCTGTGACTGCGCGGAGCACGAGGAGGCACGAAGTAACAACAGAAAGAGAAGCAGCCACGAACACTTTATCCTCATCGTGGCCCTTTCCCTCCTCTTGCTCCTCCTCCTGTTCCTCCTCCTCCTGGTCCTGCTGCTCCTCCTCCTCCTCCTCCTCCATATTTTTCTCCTCCTCCTGCTTGTCCTCCTCCTAATCCTGCTCCTGCTCCTGCTCCTGCTCCTGCTCCTGCTCCTGCTCCTGCTCCTCCTCCTCCCAAGTCTCTTGGAAAACATGGTAGGGGCCTGGTTGTTTCCCCCTGAGCCCGAAATCCAAAAATGACAAACATGGCATAGCATCACAGGGGCAATGAACATCCTCACCCAGGCGCGCGGCTATGCTCAAACGCCCCCCATCAGCCAGTGTTGGTCGACCGGCGCGACGGATGATTAACTCGTATACAGCGAGCTGGACACACGGATACAATCGGAGCTGTAAGACGCACCACGGCGAATCTGAGTGTGCACAGTCAAAAAGGCAAAGCTGGAGCAGGCAAAACGTGACGACGGTTTGAGCGTAATCGTGCAAAGGGCTCCTAACACGCGACACGGTATTTTTACTCGTCGTGATGCACCAGTTCTATGGAGTGATCCAGATCTAGCATGGTAGATGTAGACGAACGCCTGGGCCGCCACAAATCTTGAGTTTAAGTCAGCGGGCCAAAATGGGAGGGTGCGCCGCTGGATCTCCCTAAAGGGGGGGGGGGGGGAGGGGGGACCCCGCCCCCGCCTTTCCCGATCCGTCGTCGGGGACCCCCCCACCGTCCCCCTCTTTCAAAAGCGGGGGGGGGTCCGACCCCCCCGCCTTTTGGCCGCCAAATTCGAACACCCCCCCCTCCTCCCCTTTCGTCACGGCGCCCCCAAGCTCCGGAACCCGACCCCGACCACCCCTAACACTAATCCTCGCCTTTACCTTAGCACCTAACCCGAACCCCAAGACCTAACCCTGGCCCCACACAGCACTCACTACTCATAACACACTACTCACTACCCACTACCCACGACTCGCTACTCAGTATTCACTTCTCACAACTCATTACTCACTACCCACGATTCACTACTCACTACCCGCTACTCACTACCCACTACCCACTACTCACTTTTCCCTACTCCCTACGCACTACTCACTACTCACTCCTCACTACCCAATACTCATTACTCACTAAACACAACTCACTACCAACTACCCACTAACCACTATCCACGACCCACTACTCACTATTCACACATCGCTACTCACTACTCACTGCCCACAACTCACTACTTATGATCCAATACTCGCTACTCGCTACTGCCTGCACAGTACTCACAACTCACTACTCACTACTCGCTACTCCCTACACCCTACTCGCTACCAAACACGCACTACTCTATACCCACTACTCACTACTCACTACGCTCCCACTACTCCCTACCCCCTACTCCCTACTCCCAACTCACTACTCACCAGTCACTACCCAGTACCCACTACTCACTACTCACTACACACTACTCACTGCCCACTACTCATTAACCACTACTCACTAACCACTATCCACTACTCACCACTAAGTACTCACTGTTCACTACTCACTGCCCACAACTCACTGCTCACTATCCGCTGCTCGCGACTCGCTACTCTCTACGCACTACCCACTGCTCACAGCTCACTACTCATTACTCGCTACTCCTTACTCGCTACTCGCTACCCAATACGCAATATTCATTACCCACTACGCACGACTTACTATTCACTACTCCCTGCCCCCCACACACTAGCCGTTCGTCACAAGTCGTTACTCACTAGTCATTTTTCACGACTCACTACTCAGTACTCACGACTTATTACTCACTACTCACCACTCGCTACTCCCTACGCACTACCCACTAGTCAATACCCGCTTCTCACTTCTCACTACTGACTACTCACTATTCGCTACTCCCTACTCACTACTCACTACTCACTCATCACTACTCGTTACTCTCTACTCGCTCCTCACTACTGACTACTCCCTCCTTGCTACCCACTACTCACAATGCCCTATTTGCGACTTACGATTCACTACTCGTTACTCCCTACTCGCTATTCACTACTCACTACCCACTCCCCACTACCCACTATTCACTACTCACTAATCACTGCGCGCCACGACTGATTCCTCACTCCTCACTACTCGCTACTGTCTACTCACTACTCATTATTCACTATTCACTACTCACTACTCACTACTCTCTACTCACTACTTTCTACTCACTATCCCGAGGCCAGACCCCCCCCCCCTTGCGGGACGGGCCCTCTCCCCGGCCCCCTGTTCGGCGAAGCGGGAGGGGGCCGGGGAGGGGGGTTCGAGCCCCCCCTCTTTTCCAGCGCCAAGGGGGGGGGGGGGCTCCGGACCCCCCCCCCCCCCGCCCGTCAAGGGGCTGGGGAAGGGGGAAGGGTTTCGGACCCCCCCCTCTCTTAAGCAAGGAGGAGGGGGGGGGGGTCAAGAATCCCACCCTCCCTTCGAAGGGGCGAGGGGGGGGGGGGGGTCGCCCCCCCCCCCCCCCCCCCCCCCCCTTTTCAACTACAGGGTGATCCAGTGGCGCGCTCTACCGATTAAACTCATACTCTGTAGAAGGAGCCGGCTCGTGTCTTCCACTAACGATATGCTGATGTGTACCTCGCGTGCGCGCTGACATGTCATCCCTGCTCGCGTGCGTGGTCAAAGCATAAGGAATATTATCATGTGCTCCTGCTTTGGCCACTCTGATGTCTCCTCGCCCCCCCTTCTCTTGCCGCCAAAGCAGACCTAGATCTGCCTGGCGTTTCCAAATCCCCGCCAGCTTGCGACGGCAATCGCATCGGCGCTGTCACACTTGCGCGCGTTTGGGTATTTCACCAAAAATTTCTCGCGTGATCTCGTCGCCGGGCCCCTCGCATCATCCGACTTCTGGGCCCCTCTGCAGCATTCCCATGTCCTCGTCTTTTCTTTTCATATGCCTCCGGCCCTCTCCTCGTCTCCGCGGTCTCTCCTGCATTTCTGCGTTCTGCCGCTCAATTCGGCCGAGCAACGCCGACCCGGGGCTTGTCGTCACTGCCGCAGATAACCCGGAACGCAATCCACCCCGCCCAAGGGCCTCGAAATTCCTTCTCACCATCACGCCCTTCTCACCATCACGCCTCAAACTGTCAGTCATGTCCCCCGGACCATCTGTTCCATGATAAATCGCGCGTGCTCGTCTCATTGCTGAACCTCTATATTTGTGGCCCCATATGTCCTTCGGCGCGTGCATTTTGATGCGGGTTTGCGGTTTCGCCCAGTCACTAACCCGTCGTTGAATGCCCAGTCGCGCCCCGGCAACGTCTCCTCTCCAGTGCTAGATTGCCTACCTGCGCTGACCCCCCAGGATGTCCAGACCACCTTGTCCTTCGAGCAAGTCAATCTATTCCTTGGCATTGATGGATGCGCGGCATGTGAATGGCATTCCCCCCCAGCAGTAGCTTCACTGCCATGGCGCCCCGGCGCAGGCCCCACGGCCATGCGCCCCGGTTTCTCCACGGCAATCCTCGCGCCACTCGCGGCCCTGCGTCGGCGGCCAGACCCTGAGTGGGCGCCGCCGCAGGCGACATCGTCGCCGCCCAGTTGCCAAGAAAACCAACTCACGTTAGCAACCCCTTCCAAGTCCCATCTCTTCTCCTCGCATCCATCGCGCCCGTGCTCATGGGAGATGATGGCACCACCTCTATTGCCACGGATGATTGACTCCTGGATGGCCTCGTGCGCTCCCAGGAAGATTCCGCTCCCCATCCGGCCTTCAGGTCGCTGCCCCCCTTCGCAGTGGAAGTCTTCAGATGCGCGACGCATTCCCCAAACCCGGAAAACGCTCGGTTGAATATGCGCCCTCGGCGCCTTTCGTGGGCCGTCTTTGCATCGGCGCGAATCGTGAACTTGTTGATGAGACTAGGCTCGCACGCGACTAACCCAAGTCTGGGCGCGTGATCTCTTCCGAACTCCACCCAGCACTGGTCGCCCAAAGCGCCGTTGAACGTCCAGGCGTGTCCCTTTTCGCTGATCTCATGGCCCCATCTACCTCGCCGCTCGCTGGGAAATCGCCGACTGGGCGAACCTCCACTCCCAAGTAAAGGTCGCGCGACGCCTTCACGGCCTGCATGAACGCCGAAATGGGCGACTCACTGCCGCCGCGAAGGATGGCTCTCTGGCGGCTGGCGAACGAATTAATAAACCTGCCGACCTCGATTGAACGCGGGCCCATTTCTTCTGCGGGCGGAGCGCGGCCCCAAGATAACTTGGCGCCCCAGCGTCGCGCGACTGCACTGGGAATGCTCTCTACCTCCTCCCCACCATCTCCTTCCCTGCCGTTTGAGCACGCGTGGCCTTACGAGATCGCTGGTGTTCCTTGGCTCCTCGGTTCAAACTTCCACGCGCGCGCGCTGCTCTCGGCCCCCCCTCTCACGCAGTGGGGGCGCCTGCGTCGGACTTCGACTGGGGCCCGCGGGGCCATCCAGACTCGCTAGAACAGAACTGCCAAGAGAGCTCCCTGCCTGGAATGCCCTTGCATCTCTCCTCGCTAACTCCTCCACCTTCCTCAGCCCCTCTTGGCGCGTAACTCTTTCTTGGATGGTGAACTGGAAATTCCCGTTCTTCCCGTGGATCGTCGCCTCATGCCCCGGTGCCTTGCGCCCGAGAGAACTGCGGGGTCGCCGCCCCTGTCTCCATCTAAGACTGCGCGGTTCTCTGCATCTACCATTTCGCGCGCAGGTCCGGATGCCTATGCGACGTCATCTACCTGGATGAGCATGCGCACTGTGGACCCCATGTTTTTATTTCCAAACAGTAACTCGTTGCCCGCGGTTCCTGATAGTTGACCAAATGGCTTAACCGCAGTGCCCGCCGCTCTTGAAGCGCTGGCGGTCTCAGCGGCAACAACGCGCTCGGAAGCCCGACCGCGCGGTGGGCCCCCGCGCCCGCGGCAACAACGACTTTATCCATCCCGTTGTCCGTGCCCCTCACAGGCGCTCCGTTTATTTCTGCGTTTTGGAGCCCCCCATCCCCGCCATCTGTTACACGGCGAACTTCTGCGCCCAACAATCATTTTGCTGGGCACCCCGAAATTCGGCTGTCCAATTCGGCGCCGCGTCCGCAGGTAGTGCCGCGCCCGCGCAGTGCAGCATGCTTTTTCCCACTCTCAAGCCTGGTCTCCCAGGTCCTGTTCTTCGTCGCCAAGCGCTGCATCCTCAATTCCTGGGCCCCTTTTGACCGGCTCTGTCGCTGCGCCATTGCCGGTGACTCCGCCATCGCCAGTGGCGCCCTGGTACAGTAGGGGTCACGCTAACATCTGCGCGGGTTCTCCTGCGCCCCCTGCCCCCGCCCCCTGACCTGGGGTGAGTTCGTTGGCGCCCTCGAGGCAGCGCGCTGCGATGCGATGCTTTTCACCGCGTGCGTCTAACACTCCCTCGCCCAGATCGGCGCACTTTCTCTTGTACCTCTTCACCGCTTCTTGGTGACCGTTGGCGTCTTTGCATATCCCTTTTTCCACTTACTCTTCCTTTGGTGGTTCCTTTCGTGGTGCAGTCTTTGGCGGTCTGTCCACGCCCTCCACACTTGTAACGCGTGAGCCCTTTACCCTTGCCTTTTTCTTTGCTCGCTTCGTTCATGTCGCCGTTGCCACTTATGTCTCCATCAGTAAAAATCCACAAGCTCACACTTTCGTCAAAGTAACCTCGTTCACGCTTGTGCCCCACCCCCCCCCCCCCCAGTGTTTTCATCACTGTCATAGCCAATGTCCACGGAGTTGCTGTTCTTCCCGTCGGCGTCAATTCTTTTCATTCTGGCCCAGCCCCCACATTTGATGAAGAGTTGCTGGTAGGTGCCAGTGTTCAACGGTTCTGGCGTTTTGAAGCAGTCCTGCTGCAAATCGTCGAACGAATCGCCTGCGTGGGTTATGCTGATCCTCAATGCAGTAGTCCTGAATGGCACTGGTAACGAGTTTGCACTCTCGCACTTCTCAAGGGGATCTACCAGCGCACTCCACTGTTCCAGCTGTGTCGCCATGTCGTTAACCTTCTTGGGTCTGTATGGGCTCATGGCCAGGTCAATGTTGTGCGACATTGTGACCCTGGTAACGGCCAATCACCATTTACAAGCTGTCGCGCAGCTAAGCCATCTCCCTCGTGCAAACCCTTGAACTTTCCCCGTGGCTCCGTCCTTGCCGGTTTGTCATTCGACAAGTACCAAATATCCTCGTCGAACTCCGCGTAGTCGGTTTAGCCCAACTAATACTTTCCTGGAGCGCCGTTTGTCTCCCGACGTTTGACTCTCTGGTGTACTCGATCAGGAGCGACCTCCCGCTCATTATTTGTTATCGAATCGTCCCCTTCGTCATCAAGTAGCGCCCCGTCCATGGTTTCGAACTTGATGTTCAAATATTGCAAGGCTTTCCGATAACCGTGTTTCACTTGGGCGGGCACGTTCAGCAACTCCTCGCTGCACTCCCTGATTGAACTTGGTCCGGCCGCCCGAAAATTTGTGTCCAGCTCCTCTGGCCCTCGTGTTTCCACCGGGCTGTGAAACCTTGGCGATCTAGATAACATGATCCGAAGCATCCGCTTGACGTTGGAGTTTTGTCTGGTAGTGCTGTTTTGAACTGCTGAACTGTTCCTCGCAGTACATGTTACGGTTCATGGCCAATATCGGCAGAGCGCTGAAATTGTAGCTCATTTATAACATGCATCGTGAACGCCTCATTCTCCTCGACCGTCCTGGTACCCAAATTCGGCGGGACTGTTGCGGCCGCCGCCGCGGCCAACTCCGGGAAACAATTGTTTTGAGGATTCATATGCGCGTACTGCAACACGCTGGGCGAACCTAGTGGTCCGCTACAATAAATAATCCTGGTGGGAGCCTTTTTTTCTCCCTGGAAGAACAACAATGTTTGAGCTCAAAAACCATGAGGGGGAAACGACATAATACCACACGGACAATCGGGTCGGGCGAAAGGGGGGGATAGCAAAGGGGGGGTTTGAGAATCAGCTCACGTAGCTAATTTTCCAGGCGCCTCCCGGCGCCGGAGGCGGCTATGTATCGAGGAATGGGCCCCTCGGTTAAGCCGAAACCAGCTGCGGGCAGCAAATTTCGTAACCCCCCCTTTCCCCCCCTTTCGCCCGGCCCGAGACAAAGAACACCCTCACTCAGTCGCACGGCTATATTCAATGATATCCTCCTCCTCCTTTTCCTCCTTCCTCCTCCTCCTTTACCTCTCTTTCCTCCTCCTCATCATCCCTCTCCTCCTCCTCCTCCTCCTCCTCCTCCTCCTCCTCCTCCTTTTCCTCCTCCTCCTCCTCCTCCTCCTCCTCCTCCCCCTTCTCCTCCTCCTCGGATTCCCCCCCCCCGCCGGAAGATCAGCTGGACCTCCAGAAGGGCGTCGGCGGACCAGAGGCGCCTGGGGTCGTCCTTCTCGACGCGGCAGACCGCGCCTGGAAAAACCGCGTTGTCGTCATCGTCGCCGCCGCCATCGGAATCGTCGTCGTCGGTCGTCGTATGCCGCCGACTCTCCTTCCCTCCTTCTCCGCTTCCTTGTGTTCTTCACCAAGACGCGCTGGTGCAAGACAGCTGGGGGCGTGTCCCTCGCTGACATTGTGCTTTCAACGGGAACAATGAACGGGGAGACAACGATGAAGGACTCGAGAGCGCCAGGGGGCAAGCCGTCGATCCGAACAAGAGGCCTTCGCTGCAGTGGGGGCGCCGCCTGGAAGGATCGAAATCGTTCGGAGCTATTTTTCGATTACAATGGATGAGTGCAACAAGGCCCTGTGCATAATGGCCTGGACAAAGCAAACATACATTCAACATATACAAAAGAATCCACTGAACAGTGTGGAGCCCCATTGATCTCATACCCCTGGCTGTTCTCATGCGTCGCCTCCGCGCCTCCTTTTGGTGGGCGGGGCGGGACGTGGCCCATCCATCGGCGACTGCACCGTCGCTTTCTTGAGGATGCTGGGCCGCGTTGGCCTGGCATGCTCCGTGGCCAGCAAGTTCGTGTGCCAAAGCGCCAGTCTCGCGCCCGAGCCTTGGCATCTCTCGCCTCCAGCTTCCTGAAGAAATTGCTATCGATACGTGGCGAAAGCAATTCGAGAAAACAGTCATGGCAAGACTTGCCTCTGCACTTGCTCCGAACACGCCGCCCCAGTCGGTGTTTGTGAGACGGTTTTCAATTAGAGTAATTAGTCGTCGTCGTCGCCGTCGCCGCTCCACCCTTTCCTGCGGCCCTCCTCCTCAAGCGATCCAATCAGGCGAAAAATCAAGCAACGCCGTAATTCATTCGAAAGGAAGCCCCTTCCCTTTGATCCCTTCCCTGGCGGGAGGGGGGTTAGCGGGGAGGGTCCCGGCGGGTGAGCGAGAGGGTCCGGGGGGGTAGCGGCGGGGGGTCCCAGGGGATGGGTCCCAGGGGATGGCTCCAGGGGGGTGTCCCGGAGGTCGTGGCCTCCCCCCCGGGCGGTCCCCCGTGGGCAAGGGGACAGGGAGGTGGTCCCCTTGCGGACAGGGGGAACTCGAGACCTCGACCCCGCCACCCCCGCGGACAAATGGACCATCACCACCACCCTCTCGAACCGCCCCCCCCCCCCCCCCCCCCCCCCCCCCCCCCCCCCCCCCCCCCCGAGGCACCCTCCTAACTCTTATCTGCTGTTGCGGTGTGCTGCGTATTTTCCACATGACTCCAAGAGCCCTCAGACTAGCCCCGAAGCGGCTCCAAGTGGCCACGGAGCTCTCCAAGAGGTCCCCCAAGCGGCCCCCCAACAGAGCCCAACAGGCCTCCAAGAGATCCCCACGGAGGGCTCCAGAGCGTCAGCGTCGTCGTCATCGTCGCCGCCGCCAGCGTTGTCCCCCTCCAGGGTCGGCGGCACCGGCCGTGAGGCCTTCCCAGTAAATAACCGAACAGCTCTTGCCAATCCCGTGGAAACACGGGCAGGGCGAGGGAGGGGGACGCGCGACTCTCGGGACGTCCCCGGGGGAGAGCAGAAGGAGGGTAGTATTCGCATTGAGCATGTGCAGGGACGGGGGAGGAGGAGGAGGAGGAGGAGGAGGAGGAGGAGGAGGAGGAGGAGGAGGAGGAGGATAAATAATGAGACGGAGGAGGGCGAGGGACACAACCCAGAGGAGCAGGATGCAGGTCTCCGTAAGGAGGGGGACAAGCATCTTTCTCCAAACCCCAAGTCGCTCCCCTCCGATCCCTTCCCTCGACGCCGTTGACCGCGGCGTCCGCGACAACTGCAGCGACGGGCGTCGTGGGCGGCTGCGACGTGCTTCCCACAGGGCCCTCCCCCCCACTTCTGCCTCGCGCGAGGTCGAGGAGGCCCGGCAAGGTCGCGAATGAGAGCAGCCTGCCCCACCTCTGGAGGTCCTCAGCGCCCGGGGCGGTGACACTCTCCTCCTCCTCCTCCTCCTCCTCCTCCTCCTCCTCCTCCTCCTCCTCCTCCTCCTCCTGATCCAAGCGCCCAGGGAGCCGAAACCACGGATATTTTAAAAATGATGCGTGCTTTAGCCAAGAAGGGATCCAACAAGTTTCGAGGTTCCCTCAGCTCGGTCATGACGGCAGGTTTCTGGCCCAAAGCTCGGCTCTCCCAGGCGGGGGTGAAGGTCGACTCTATCTTGTGTCCGCGTTGCGAGGTTGAACCCGAGACCGACCTTCACCGCTGCTGGACCTGTATTGCCAATAATGACTTTCCCCGCTGCGCCGACACGCAGCATTTAAAAGACCAAGCAGTTCAAGGAGCTCAAGCGCATCCTTGCTATTGGCTCCGAGGCCTCCTCCCCAGAGAATGGACGGCTATCCCAAAGCCGCCAGACAATTTGCACATCCAGCTAGACCCGCGGATCGACCCGCCAAGCCTCCCAGTGCCACGTGCGAACCCGCACAACCTGCTGGGAGCCCTTCTCGTGGACGGGAGGGTTTGGCTGAGCGGGGACGCGTCTGGGGGACAGCACTCTAGTCACGCTAAGCTGCGTCGTATCACCTGGGCAGTTGTCTCTGTTGCCTTCGGGGCTGATCCCAGGGAGGTGCCTCTGCCTTTATGTGCTTCTGGAGCTTTTGGAGGGGCCCTCCCTGGCCCGCGCCAGGGAATCAACCGAGGTGAGTTGCTTGCCCTCAAGGAGGCCCTTTTGGCTACCCCAGGCAAGGACCTGACCTATGTCACTGGCAGCGCCTACGTCCAGCGAGGTGCGTTCTGTCTGCGCCCGAAGGCCCATTGGAGGCCTAAGACGAATCGGGACCTCTGGCACCTCGTCCGAGAGCTCCGGGGGGCCCGAGACGTCCTCGTGGTCAAGGTCGCTAGCCACGCGACCGCTTCCGAGTTCGAACGAGCGTCAGATGCTTTGAAGGCTTTGTTCAAATTCAACGAGCTAGCTGACAAGCTAGCTGACAGGTTCTCTCCAGCCGCGCAGGTCCCGAGCGCGGCAGCAGATTCCCTCCTGGAGCTCGAGACGGAGGCCAAGGCCATCCGCGCCCGTTTATCTGGCATTTTAGTTTCGATGCCTTCGTACCGCCCAGAGGGAGAGGTTTCCAGAGCTGCCGCCCAGGGACCGATCAGGAAGAAGCTGGATTTGGCCTCGGAGTTTCCCTGCACGGCCCACCTCTTGGAGTGCTCCAGGGTCAAGGGTCGCCTGCGTCGGCAGTGGCGTTGTCGTAAATATTCCTCGGGGACTCCCTCAAGGGGAAAGGGTGCTGTAATTAAGTGGCTCCGCTCCCCGTGCAACCCCTCTCTCATTGTTGGCCCTGTGTCGAGTGCCCCACGGGAGGTGGGGCCGAGTCGGAGAGGCCTCTCTGCGCATCCCTCTCATACTATGCGTTGGTGGGAGGTGGGGGCGGGGACGGTGAAGGAGCGTATTTTCGCTTGCTCGAGGTGTGGAGGGCTCGGAACCGACCACTACCGCTCCACGGGCAAGCTCGTTTCGGAATGCCAGGCTCCCACACGTACAGGCCTGCAGTATCTCAGGGTGCTCGAGAAAGGACGAGCCCCAGGCCACACGAAGTTGGCCAAGCAGGTCAATGTCCTGAGATAGATTGGATTGAGCGCGCAGCGCAGAGTCTAATCTAATCTGATCCAAGCGCCCAAGTCGGCCCTCGTTGGCCGACACTACGGTACCAGCCGAGCCCATGCCTGGAACGGGCCCTGTTCCTGCCACGGCCGCCCGCGGCCATCGCCGTTGGGTCTCCTCGGGCCACGTTTGTTTGTGCGTCTCCTGTGGCGCTTTCACTACGGGCACGGCTGGTCACCTTCTTGTTGATTGCCCGTCAGGGGGTACCCACCGTCTGTCCGAGCGGGCGGTGCGTAACCGACGTTTATTCATGCAGGGTGTTCATCCCGCGGACGAGGGGGCAGCAGGCTCTCGTAGAGTCCCCGCGCCTCGTCCACTTCTCGCTTCGGACCCTGAAACCCACTGGGTCAGGCTCCATGGGAGCCCACATCCTCACCCAAGTGACGGGGCATAGTCTCCCGCTTCTTATGTCTGTGTGGCTGGTACCCGTGATCCTCTAGGTGGGGTCCCAGCCTTTTCGCAGGCCAGCCAGGCTGCTAGCAGCTTGGCACCCTAGGTGGGCGTTCGTGCACCGCGCGACGCTTCCCTTGGCAGTGCCGTATCCTCCTCCTCGTCCTCCTCCTCCATATCCAGCTCATCATCCCCCCCTCCTCTCCTCTTCCTCCTCCTCCTCCTCCTCCTCCTCCTCCTCCTCCTCCTCCTCCTCCTCCTCTTGTTTATCCTCCTCCTCCCCTGCTCCTCTTCATCCTCCTAGGTCCTCGTTAATCGAAGATGGCATTTAGGATGGCCTTCGGAGGCATCCGGGGACTTCTAAAGACCTCCATCCCTCTTCCCTACAATTACACACCAGGCGTGTCGTCAGGGCGGGCTTGGCGTTTCGCCTGAGACTTCCTCCTCCTCCCCCTCGCCTACGTTTCCAACCATGGACTCCTTGTTGCTCATGGCATTGGGCGGTCTTCGGCGGTCTTCTGCCTCATCGCCCGTGGTGTCGGCCTCCTCTTGCGTTTTATCACTGAGCGCTTCTCGCTTTGCACGGCCCAGTGAAGTCGACCGCAAGTCTGGCTTGGCCAACTTGGTATTCGGTCCATGGTGGCCTCGCAGGGTGCAACACGATCCCGTGGTCAGTTTCGCGACGTAAATGACGCTTGCCGCCCTTATCCTCTCCCTCGGGGATGCAAGGCACATTGCTCTGGTGTCCCTGGCCATTTCCAGGCCTCCAGGACTTCCTGCCCTGCTGTATCAACGGTAATGTGCTGTCTGTATTAAGGAGTGGGGCTGGCTCCCGGGTAGCTTGGGTGTCGGCGGGCAGTGGAGGAATAAAACACTCGACGGGGCAAGACGAAATGCTCCGAGACCCATGCAGAAGAAAGCAGAACGCAGAATGCGGCTGGCCGGCCGAGAGGATATCCTCGCGGCTGGCAGGCCACATTGGAGGAACGGCTTCCGCGAGCGCGATTTAGTAGCAACCGTCTCGAACAATTTGCTACACCATCACCTGTAACTTATAGCGTAGACCGTCAATCAATTAACCAATCACCATCATAAACACGATCATCATCAGGATCGCCATCGTTGTGGTCGACATCGTCATCGATTTCATGAACTTCACCACCAAATCATTGTTACCCCTACCCCTACCCTATCTTCCGACCCCCCTCACCCCCAACCCCCCCTCCTCTCCTGCATGTGATGTTCCTCATCCTCTCATCCCCCCTCTTCCTCACCACCCTGATCTTCCATCTGCTGCTGTCCAATCGCTTCTCCTCCGCCCACAAGACCCCCGACTTTTCTGAACCCGTGGTCCCGGTACCCGACCCGTTATAGGTCTGGTGCCCAGCGGGGCCTGGCGTAGCAGGTGGCTCTGCACACAGGTGAAGGCCACAGACCAGGTGCCAGTGATGAGGCGCACCCCAAAAACAGCGATAGGGAGGGGAGAAGGAGGGCGGGGAGAGCAGGACAGATCCCCTCCTCCCGCCCTCGCTATGGGTGGGTTCGGTGGGAGGGTGGGAAGAGCAGGAGAACAGGAGGAGGAGGAGGAGGAGGAGGAGGAGGAGGAGGAGGGGAGGAGGAGGAGGAGGAGGAGGAGGAGGGGGGAGGAGGAGGAGGAGGAGGAGGAGGAGGAGGGAGGAGGAGGAGGAGGAGGAGGAGGGGGGGGTAGGAGGAGGAGGAGGAGGAGGAGGAGGAGGAGGAGGAGGAGGAGGAGGAGGAGGAGGAGGGGGGGGTAGGAGGAGGAGGAGGAGGAGGAGGAGGAAGAGGAGGAGGAGGAGGAGGAGGAGGAGGAGCAGGAGGGGGAGGAGCAGGGGGGGCGGGCGGGCGGAGAAAAGGACGCCCGCGTCGATGCAGCCCCAGGCGATTTCGATGTTTTGTCGGCTGCGCGCTGGAGGCCTCTGGAGCCTTCCACTTGAGGTGGGGCTGTCGGCGGGCGAATGGCTCGTCGTCTCCTGCGACGACCTGAGGGAGTTGTACTACACCTTCAAGGTCCCGCCTGCTCGGGCCAAGAGGAACGCGTTGCGAGTCTGCTTGCCCAGCAGCCGTTTCGTGGACTTCAGATGCGCTCCAGCAGTCCTCAAGCAACAGCCGTAGGAAAGCCAAGCATCAACATAACAGCACAGCCACTACTCCAGGAGAACTCCTCACGGGCCGTCTTCCTCTTTACGCACATCTGGCGAACATCTGCGCTTCCTTGGCTGTGTTGGCGTAATTGAGACGTGTCACTTGTTTTCGGGGCTCCAGCCTCCAGCTGCGGAGTGCACCTCCAGGTCAAAACCCTACGGGCCTTAGATCCCGCGGCGCCCACCTGAACCCATCCGAAGGTTCTCTAGAGCGGTGTTGGGGCCTTTGGTATTCCTTCCCCTTCTCCTTCTCATCATACCTCTATTCTCCCTCATACTCTTCCTCGTCCATCGTCCGCTCCACCATGTTTCTTCTGCCTCGCCCCCATCACGATCCTGGCCTGCTGCTGCCGCTGGCGTTCCTTCCCCTCATGAGGAAGGGGAGTGCTAGAACATCCTAAGGGCTCCCGGCAATGCCCCGGAATTCCAAGGGTCCTTAGGACTCCTGGGGATGATCTAGACCCCTGAGAATCCACTAGGTCCACTAGACTACCCATGAAATGAAAGGAATCACTGGAATTCTTGGGAGAACCCAAGAGGTTCCCAAACAATCCCGGAATATTCTGAATAATTCCTGCGAGATCCGAGAGATTGCGTCGGCTTTCGGCGAAAAAACCGAGAGTGCAAAAACTAAATAAAGAACTCTGGAGTATTATGGTAAATTGCTGAGGATTCTGACTGACCCCTTAGAATCCTGACAAGCCCCTGGGATGACGGGAAGCGCCTTCACGAAATGAACAGGTGCTGGGAGTGTGTTAGACGAAGCCTGCTAAGGAAAAAATGAAGATCTACGACGCGAAGGACAGCGGGCTCGGGATCGCAAAAAAAGTACTTCGGCCGGCGGATGACGGGAAGCGCCGTCTCGGAACGAAATAATGCTGGGAATGTGTTAGAAGAAGCTCAGTAAGGTATAGATAAGGAGCGGAGACTCGAAGGACAACGGGCTCGGGGCCCTCAAACAGCGAACTGGTTTCGCCTGATACATCCTCGAAACATGAGATGTTCAAGAGTGAGGCTCTCGACCAAAGCACCCTCGGAACAACTGAAATGCTGAGATCACAATCGAAATTGCTCGGGATTTCATAAATGGCATGTCACTACAGACATCCTCCAAAACATGAAATACTGAAGGAACTGGTTCTGAGACTTTGAAGACGTTTTATAATGATCATGAGCCTCGCACTCGAGACATCCCCGGGACACTGGGATGTTGAGATCGGTCGCGGAGTTGTCTTAATATTCAGAAATGGCCGTTTCGTTGGAGACATCGCCGAACAAATGAGATGCCGAAAGAGCTGCTCTGAATCCGTTCAAGACATTGTATGTCGAGAGTGAGCTCGGGACATCATCGAACAGTACGAAAACGAGGAGGCGGAAGACGAGGAGGAGCACGAAGCTCGAAACCAGCAACTTCGGTGGAGACATCCTCGGGGCATCGAGGTGCCGAGAGCGCTCTACTGTTTGCTTCGTCTTGGATTCGCTCCAGGAGGGCTTCAACATTGCCGAAGGCGGTTCCAAGCAGCCATCAAAAACACCCCCCCCAAATGCGAAAGCAACGTGATTTCCCAATGGATTGACCTGTTGCTGCGAGCGCAATGTCATAACCTGCATGTCCAGTGGAATTCTTTGCAAGTTTGACATACTTCGGGGCACTGCACTTCTTGACCTGGCGTTCCCCCCACAGTGATGAGCGTATCGCCACTTTTCAAGAATGTATCGCTCCAGGCAAGACTGCGAGGCGAGTTCAAGTGTGACAATTACCACACAGAGTCAATTCGCAATGGTGACTGGATTCGCTCCGCCTTCCCTCTCCCGCGCTTCAGATCCCCCTGCCCCCCTACCTCCTATCTCTCTCCGCCTGGTCCCCCCGATCGTGCCGAGCTCCCCACGTGCCAGCCCTGCCGTCTGGATTGGCCCAATGCCCCCCCCCCTCTCCTCGGAAGCACTGGCCTCGGGCTCGCCCCCCGGCGGAGCGGCAGGCTGAACTCCGCCGCCGCCCCGGGCAACGCCTCCGCAAACGAGGGCGAGGAGGAAACGCAATTCGCCCGACTCCGAGTCCACCGGCATGCTGCCCATGCTCATGTCATGGCGGTCTCGTGCTCTCTCCTCTGCCTCTCCTCGGCTCTCGTGGTCTACTGCGCCGTGCATGCCCTGTGTGCCCGCGGCCCGCCGCGGGCGCCTGACGCTCCAAGCGCGGCGGTGCGCCCCCGCAGCCAGCGCAAGACAGAAAAGGAAGAACGCAGCCACGGCACGATGGTCCCGCGGATTTGGACGCCCGAAAGGGGCACGGAAACAGTGGGCACAGTGCACGATAGCAAGTGTTGTCCCAAACCAGCAGCGGCCGCTGTCTGTTGGGCAGGCGGCCTTCCGTCTGGAATGGACACACGGCCGCGGCGGCGCGGACAGAAAGCCCTGTTCAAAATGAACAGGAACTGATGTTGAGCATTGTACCCGTTCTTTCCGGGCCCATCTCGTTCGTGCAGAGCGGAGGGGATAGTGTTGTGGTGGCAGGCTGGCGCAGGCGAAAAAGGGACTTCCACGGTGCTTCGTGTCCTCACCTCCGTGCGACTGCGCGCTGCTCGGCACAGCCGAGTCCCGGGCCAGCCTTGGCCATGGGCGCATGCACGAGAAGGGCGTAATTACGAACCTCCGAGAGCGGTGCGCCGACGGTTGAGATGCCTGAGATGAAAACCGCGCGGGGCATCTGGATCATGAGCTACAGACCTCAAAATCTGCGATCACAAGCCAATCATCATGACACATGGGGTCCCTGCGGAGGGGCAAGTTCAACCACAGTCGCAATCAACGTGCTTCGCGTGCTAAGGAGATTGGGGGGAGGAAGCGCCTGCGTTTGTGAACTGGCGTGGTGGCTTGCCTTGCAGCCGCGCTGCCTGCCCAGATGTTGTGCCCATCTATGCGTCACGTCGTGGCTAATCACCACATGCGGGCCAACCCCGAAACAAACACATCTGTTGCGAATTCGGGGGATCGTGTCTGTCCCATCGAGTCGCCATTCGCGCCGAATCTGCGCCGAATACACGTCGGACACTAATCTGCATCGAATCCGAGCCGGATCGCGTCGAATCCACGTCAAACCCGCGGCGGATATACGCTACCCCAACCCACTGGACAAACTAAGGTCCCCCGAAGATGTAATGCAAAACCACGCGACAACCACAAGGCAACCCACAAGACAACCACGGGCCAACAACAAAACAACCCCGGAAACCACCGCGAGACGCACGGTGCAGAATCATTCGGCACTAGCTACGGCCGCCACATCACCGCCCTCGCGTAGATCCTCCTCTCCCGCACACACAACGCGAGCCGAAACAGAATGAGATTTCCCGATCGGAGTCGCGACGATCTCATCCATCCAACATCCGACGCTGCGGAAGCATCGGGGATTCAAGCTGGATAGGGGGCTTCCCAAAGGGCTTTTATCAGCCTCTCGTCGCAGGAAAAATGCCCGCACAGTGTTTGCACCATGGGGGTCCGATGTAGACATGTGTAGACGTCTTGCCAATAATTTGTCCCGTTTCTAGGAGTTTCGCGGCGGCAAGCCATGCGGCCCCGGCCTGAATTGCCCTGGCTTGCGACACTTGTCCTGGCTGGCCACTGTGTACCGTGTGCGGTCCCGTCATTAGGTCCCAAGCGAACACTGCCAACAACTGGTGCGTGTTGTGGTGGTTGGCTGCGCGATCCAGCCAGAAAGGCCCTAAATTGAAATGCCCTGGATTAGGTCCAAAGGTAATTAGCCATCTGGTCCCGGCGATGAGTCTCTGACAGGGATCGACTTGGGCGGTGGGTTTCCTGGTGGCTCGGCATAACACCTCGCCAATACAGTCCCACATGACCTGCTCCAGCTGGTGGTAGTCGTGCAATTTGGCGGCGCAAATCCGCTCATCACAATTGTTCCTGACATCTTTTTGCCCTGACTGTTGGATCTCGATGTGCCCGGCTGTCTGCAAAACCACGCACGTGGGTTTGGGGGGCCTGGCCTGCCAGGGATATTGGATTTCGTGACAGACTGTCACAGGGTCCCGGCCACGTGTCCTGGCCTTCCTGTTACTTGCCACAGCTAGTGACTTGCCGTTGTTGTTAGCCATGGAGCCCCGTTCACAAGGCCAGGCCTGCAATTGCCCTGTACGCTGGCTTTCGTTTCACAGGGCCACAAAGTCGCGCTCCAAAGGGCCCGAGTCTCAGTCGCCTGTTAGCTCGATTTCGCGGTGCTTGGCAACGGGGCGACGACTTTATGGACACAACCACACTTTTGAAGCATCCCCGTTTGACGAAGTCGCGTGGAGATGTGATGGGCCCACATCTTTCGAAGAAGAAGAAGAACAAGGAGAAGGAGAATAACGGCATGAAAATGGACCTTTCAGAGGTCCGCGCAGATTTCTTGGATCGGCGCTTAACCTCCTCCCTGGCGCGCTCCGCGCGCCTGGGGCGGCGCCAGGGGCGCCACCAAGGGGGGGCACAACGCCGTTCCAAGAAATTCGCGCTGACCTCCGAATCTGTCTTTGTGTTGTGCTCTCTTCTTCGACACGTGCCATCTTTGTGAGTCCCCGTTTCTTCCACATTTGCTTTGCCACTGCTTCCAGCAACAATTGTTGTTCCTCCTGCCCTGGCAGAGCTCAGCCGATCGAGGCACGGCTGCCGACTCAGGTCCGCTACTCGAGGCAGCGAACGTTGTAGGGCCTTCGTGCCCTTTCAAGACGGATGGGCCCATGTGGGCGACTCTGGGAACCCAACATGTCTGTGTCTCCCTTTTGCCGCAGCCGCCGCCCTTTGACTTCCGCCGGCTTCCGCCGAGGGTGAGGCGCGCAGAAGAGGAGGCCCACTTTGGCACGCCATGTGTGGCAATTTATCCCAGTCTTGGAACTATCTGGCGTCGTGGCTCCCCTGTGGCCCCCCGATGGCGGCCAAGCGTCCCCGCCGGAACCAGCGCTGGGCCACCTCAGCCCCGGCTCACAAGCCTTGGCATGTCTCCGCAGGGCAAGCCTTGGCAAGCCTTGGCAAAAAGGCTCCCCTCGTCAGGCAAGGAAGGCCTTTTTTAGGAGAGAGTGCAATGAGCACAAACTGTTGGGGGTCCGCGCGGATTCCCTGGATCGGCGCTGGAGCCCACTCCCTGGCGCCGGCAGCGCCGCAAGGGGGCTCCAGCGCCGATGCGAGAAATCCGCGTGGCTGGGGAGGGACGGGCCAAGAGAAGGAGGAGGAGAAGGAGGAGGAGGAGGAGGTGGCGCCGGAGGACGAGTGCGAAACGAAGGCCAAGGCGGAACAACCAGGGAGCAGAGCACGAGCGACAAAAAAACATCCGCGAGGACCTCCACGAGTCCGTGCAGCGCTCGCTGCCTAAGCTTCTGCAGCTGCTTGCACGGCCACGCCTGTGCCGATGCAGCTGTCTGCTCCCGCCCTGGGAGCGCGCGGCGGGGGCAGGGGGGGCAGGCAGCCTGCCGGCGGCGGGGCTGGCAGCACTAGCCCCCGCGCCGCGGCCTCCTGGTCGACGGCCTCCGCGCGCGCGCGCCCCTCCCCCGACCCGGCGGGCAGGTCCCGAGCAGCTGGCGGGACGAGAAGGAACCCCCCCCCGATGGGGAAATATCCGTACACAGCACGGCCGGACCTGGGACAGCAGAAGAACACCCTTTGAGAGCACGAGACCCTCCACCGGCCAAACGGAAGAGCATTCGAGGATACCCTCCCCCACAGGATGGACAAGAACATCCCCAGATCACCAAGAACATGAGGGCAGCCTGCCCGAACCGGCCTCGATCTTATACCTCGGTCCGACCGTAATCGCCCGTGCAGGCAGCGTGCTACCATGAGGAAAGCAAACTGAGGAACGGGCAGGCTCTTCTGCCCGCGGCGGTCCTCGGCCACGGACGAGTTCCCACAGCTATAGGTCGAAGGAATGGCCCGAGCCCCTCCCGAGTCCCAGGTGTTAGCACCTTGACTGTAGCCCCCGGAGTTGCGGATACGAGTGAGGGGGCTGCGAGGTCCTCGGCAGCCTGCGAGCTTCTGCGGGCGCCCGCCGCAGGCGCTGATGTTTTTTCACCCTGCACAGCGAGCCCACCGCAGGCTTGAATTTCGTCAGGGCAACGTGGGAGGGTCGCGAGTGGGTCGCGGGGTGGGTCGCGGGGGAGGACGACTACAACAACATCAAGCAGCAACAAACAACAACCACAACAACAACAAAAACAACAACAAACCAGCACCAACAGCACCAGTAACAACAACAGCAAACACAACCACATCAGCAACAACCACAACACCACCAATAACAACAACCACAATAACAACAAGATTACCAGCACCAACAACAGCAACGTCAACAACACCAGCAACACCAACACCAACAACAACGACCACAACAACAACAGCAACAACAACAGCAACAACCTTAGCAACAACAGAAAGAGGAGCAACCTCAACAACAACATCAACACTAACACCACCAGCAACAACACAGCAACACCAACATCAACACCAACACCACCACCAACAACAAAGATAACAACGAAGACACCAATACAACAACAAAACAAAACGTGCTGAATCCGCGCCGCGGAGTCTCACTTCAGCCACGCACCCGGGGATCATGAATCACCGTTCGCCCCCCCCCGTCACTCTGACGGGTATGCTCGGCGAGACCTGCCTTCAGGGAAACGCTCCCACAGAGGAGCGGGCACGGTGACAATCGGGCCAACTCTGGGCTCAAGCCCGATGGGCAACGGAGCGCGGCAGAAACTGGCACTGGCCAAAGAGGAGCAGCGAACCTGAAGAAGAGGACGACCTACGTAGCCCCCCGCAGTTGCGGATAAGAGTGAGGGGGGGCGAGGACGTCGTCAGTCTGCGAGGCTCTGAAGAAGCTTGCCGCAGGCCCCTTACTTTTACAAATTATGCATTGAGCCCGCCGCAGGCGCCGATTCTTTCGTCAAAGCAATGTGGGTGGATCGCGGGGTGGGTCGCGGGGTGGGTCGTGGGGTGGGTCGCGGAGTGGGTCGCGGGTGGGTCGCGGGGTGGGTCACGGGGTGGGTCGCGGGTGGGTCGCGGGTTGGTCGCGGGCTGGGTCGCGGGGTGGGTCGCGGGTGGGGTCGCGGGGTGGTTCGCGGGGTGGGTCGCGGGGTGGGTCGCGGGTGGGTCGCGGAGTGGGTCGCAAAGGGGGTCGCGGGTGGGTCGCGGGCGGGTCACGGGGTGGGTCGCGGGTGGGTCGCGGGTGGATCGCAGGGTGGGTCGCGGGGTGGGTCGCGGGGTGGGTCGCGGGGTGGGTCGCGGGGTGGGTCGCAGGGGGGACGACGACAACAAACAACAACATTGCAACAAGCACCCAGGGACAATGAACGACAGTTCGGCCCCCTCACTCTGATGGTAGATGGTCGACTCAATCATGATCGATGGTCGACCGCTCGATCATCGGTGATCGATGACCGAGGGGAAGGGCCCCCGATCGATGATCGCAGGTCGACCTCCTTCGACCTGCCCTGCCTTGCTGGCATCGTCCAGAGGGCCCCCGCCGTCGCGGCCGACATCCGTCCCGAGACGGCGGCTGAAGCGCGCTCCAGAAGAGACCCAGGGATTGCTCTCGATGGAAGCGCCCCGCTAAGAGGACGAGGCATTCGTGGCCTGTTCGGCACGTCCTTCGCCGTTTGCGCTGGCTGGCCTCGCCGGGTACCCGTGGGGGGCCGGCGGCGTCCTCAGCCTGCGCGGCGCCGCGCTCTCTAGTGGGTGAGGGCCCTCAGGGCGCGGACGAGGCGGGGTTTTTCTTTGGTCGTCTGTGCGCGCGTCGCCCTCGTCCTCGGCCGTCCTCGGCCGTCTCCGCTCTCGGTGGACATCGTGCCGGATGCTCTCGGGCGTTCTCGGGCCTCCTGGGGCGCCCCCGTGGCCACGGCGGGACCCCCTATCGAAGCAAGCCGCAGCGCGCCCCGGCACGGGTCTGGGGCGGGGGGCGGGGGGCTGTTGGCCCGACCCAAGACCTCTGTCGACACGAACAGGTATGCTTCATGGCGCGCAGCGTCCCACCCTCCGAAGGGGGGAGGTGAGGCAACCGCGATCCCGTCTGGAGGAAAGCGATCGGGAATCAGGGGCCCAGCCCTCCCCTGCTGATGCGAGCGAGGGTGAGGAAGAAGCACATGAGGGAGCGACTCGAGCAACAATCGTGGCAGAGCTCTTGTTGGACCGTCACGACCTGTTCCTCTTTCTGCCGCAGCGCTGTGGGGCACAACGCGGTCGGACGAGCACGGGTCACGGACTCGCGGATTTCGCACCTGCGCAGCGAGACGAGGAGGTCGGTCACGGAGGAAGTCCTGGCAGCCCGCCAGCGGCGGCCCGGGCTTTCTCCGCCGCCTCCTCCTCCTCCTCCTCCTCCTGCTCTTCCTTCTCCCTCCTCCGTCTCCTCCTCCTCCTCCTCCTCCTCTTCCTCCTCCTCCTACTCCGCCCTCCTCCTCGCTCCTCCCTCCTCTTCCTCCTGCTCCTCCTCCTGCACCTCATTGTCTTGCTGGACCCAAGGGGGCCTCCCTCGCCACCGCTGCGGGCGCGCCTCTGGTGCCAGGTGGCTGCGGTGTCCACCTTGCGCCACCTGGCACCACCTCTTGTTTCGATGGTTCAAAAATGGTGTCCTGAGGGATGGGTTCCTAAGGACGAGGTGCCTCAAACAATGTACATCCACCCTTGGGCGGCCCCTTGCTGTCCTTAGGACCCCATCCCTCAGGACACCATCTTTGAAACAGGTCTATGTGGTCGTCTCTCTCTCTCTCTTGTCCTCTCTGTCTCTGTCTCTCTACAATGGGATCGTGACCGCTACTTCCCCCGCGGAGGGTGGGACACTCTGGAAAAAAAGCGTTCTCCCCCGCTCTCTCTCTGTCTCTCTGTGTTTTTCTTTCCTTCTCTGGCTGACCTTCTCTCTCCACCTCTTTCTCTCTCTCTCTCTCTCTCTCGGCTCTGGCCGTGCCTCTGGGAGAGCAGACCTGGAACGAGGAAGGGTCCTGGCATCCTGGCAATGTGGGGAGACCCCGGCGGGTACCGTTGCCCCCGCGCCGACTCGAGCAATCCACTGTAGGGAGGGGAGTGACAGCCTCCGCCATGCCTTGGGACGACGTTCAATGTTGTCACGACGTCGAATGTCGGGGCGCCGATCACGACCGCCTTTCGATGCCTTTAGAGGAACAGTTGGCCTGGCGAAGGACCCAACCATGAGCAGTTATGAGTAACGCAGTTGTGAGCATCGTATTCGGCAGAGCCCCTTTAATGGGGCCACGAAACGTTTGAGGGTTGTGCCGAAATGGGGGCGGGGACGCATGTGGGCACCGCCACAGGGGCCTTCGGTGGAGCTCCCTATGATGCAACGAAGCGTGTGAGGGGTGTGCCGACATGGGACACCTGTGGACTGCGCCACAGGGGCCTTCGGTGGAGATCCCTCTGGGGCCACGAAGCGTGTGAGGGGTATGCCGACATGGGTGGCAGGGACACATGTGGGCACCGCCACCGGGGCCTTCAGTGGAGCCTCCTATAGGGCCACGAAACGTGTGCGGGGGGTGCCGACATGGGTGGCGGGGACGCATGTGGGTACCGCCACTGGGGCCTTCGGTGGAATTCCCTATGGCCACGAAGCGTGTGAGGCGCGTGCCGAAATTGGCGGCGGGGGCGCATGTGGGCGCCGCCACTGGGGCTTTGTGGAAATGGGTGTCGGGGACGCATGTGGGCACCGCCACAGGGGCCTTCGGTGGAGCTCCCTATGGGGCCACGAAGCGTGTGAGGGGTATGCCGAAATGGGTGGCGGGGGCGCATGTGGGCACCGCCACTGGGGGCCATCGGAGGAGCCGTCAATGGAGCCACGAAGCTTGTGAGGGATGTGCCGCAAGGGGTTGCGCGGACGCACGGGAGCACCACCACTGAGGCCTTCGGTGGGGCTCCCTATGGGCCCACGAAGCGTTGGAGGGTGGGCCGAAATGCGTAGCAGGGACGCATGTGTACACCGCCCCTGGGGCCGTCGGTGGAGCTCCCTCTGGGGCCACGAAGCGTGTGAAGAGTGTGCCGAAATGAATATCGGGGGCGCATGTGGGCACCGCCACAGGGGCCTTCGGTGGAGCTCCCTGTGGGAGGACGAAACGCATGAGGGGTGTGCCGAATGGACGGCAGGGGCGCCTGCCACTGGTGCCCTCAGTGGTGCCCCATATTGGGACAAGAATCGTGTGAAAGGTGTGCCGAAATGCGTTGGGGAGGCGCATGCGGACCACTGGGGCCTTCGGTGGGTCCCCCCCGTCTGGGGCCGCGGACAATGTGAGGGGTGTGCCGTAATGGGTGGGGGAGACGCATGCGGACTGTGCCACTGGGGCCTTCGGTGGAGCATTCTGGGGGGCCACGAGATGCGGTAGGGTTGTGCCGTAATGTGGCTGAGACGCATGCGGCCGCTGAGCCTGGGGCGTTCAGTGGAGCCCCCCATAAATTGCAACGATACGCTGTGCTGGGTGGGGGGTGGAGGGCGGGACGCATGCGGGCACCGCCACTGGGGCCTC